AAGAAATTAAGTTTCTGATTAAATAATACATAATATTATATTAAACAGATGTGGCTCACGGGTGTGCGTAAGTACTCGCAGGAACCATCGGACAGAGAGACACCCTGTATAGTCACGTTTAATATAGCACACTTCCTTTCCCTTAATCACGTATGGGTTGGGAAACAGCAGACTTGAATATTAAAATGCGCCGTATGTTTACATTTGTTTTTACTTGATTTCGTTGGGAACGCATCGCAGACACACACACGCACTCAATCATATATTATATCACATTTATCACGAGACCCGATGCACCGAGTGAAATACAAATTAAACCCGTAATGGAAGTTGAGGTTTCTTTTGAATAATTTCGTTTCATATCTTACCACTCGCGCACTCAGTCTATACACACACACACACATACGCAMACGAACAGACACCGACGGGAACGTGAGAGCTCCCGGTGTATATACTCACGTGTTGCACGTGTACGAGATCATAACCGGAAACGGGAGGGTGTATAATAAATAATAGAAATCCTTTTCCCGTGCGATCGGGGGCAGCTGAAGATGCGCCCTTTGGACGCGCATGGCTCATATTGATGTAGATTTTAACGGAGATCGTCTTCCTGCTTACTTTTTTCTTTTCCTTTTTGTGTTATTTGTCCGCGGATCCACATCCGTCGGCGGTGGCCAAATGTTTCCAATGTGAACTATATTGTTGTAATGCGTACGTTGATTCGCAGGTGTTTAATGATGGGAGCCGAATCTCAATACAGCGACACCATAAGATCGTCCAAGAAATGCGGCAAGTTGAGGCCGTTGAAGATAACCGCAGTTGGCGACGGAATGGTTGGAAAAACTTGCATGCTCATTACCTACACGACCAAGCAGTTTCCTACCGAATACGTGCCTACCGTGTAAGTAAAAACCAACCGTTTCATTAGATAACTGTAAATCTAAAAACAAGCAAGGCCATTATCATGCAGTTTTAGTAGATGGGTACAGTATGTATAGGCACCTACACGTTGATAAGTTATTAGTTTATATAGTT